TAATTAAAATAAAAAAAAATAAAATAAAAAAAAATGATAGTCATGTCCAGGACCTTATTGAAACAATGACAAGGTAAAAATGTACTCCTGGCACTCTAATGTTTCCTTTGGTAAATTTTATTTTTCTTTCTTATAGTCTTAGATAGTTTTAATTATTATAGGAGAATTGTCAAGAACTATTCCTCTATCTTGGGGGACAAGAGGAGGGAAGCAAGGAGAAGACTCCTCCAGCATCAAAATAGATTCATTCAGCAACCTCATCCCAAATACCAATGTGAGATGTTTCCCACACCCACTCCATTGGAGGTCCCCGTCCTCTCTTTCCTATGGGTTCATGGGTGTCTTGGGAGTATTGTATGCATTAGGTAACAAAGTGGGGGGACGGGGGTGATCTGCAGGTTTTCCTAGGCAACCCGCAGAGGAGGATGCTGAAGAAATGAAGTACTCATTGACCACTTCAGGGCAGATATCAGAATCCCCTGGTGCAGGTGATGAAGATATTCCTTCGGATGAAAGCAGGGTAAACTACTTTCTGATGGCTCAGTTTCAAAACAGTTCTTAGGCCCTGCTAAACAGCCCTGGTGGTGGTCCTTTCTACCTGTGCAACTCTTCCCCTGCAATGCACACTCTCCTTTTTTTTTTTTTTTTTTAATATATTTTATTGATTTTTTACAGAGAGGAAGGGAGAGAGATAGAGAGTTAGAAACATCGATGAGAGAGAAACATCGATCAGCTGCCTCCTGCACATCTCCTACTGGGGATGTGCCTGCAACCCAGGTACATGCCCTTGACCGGAATCGAACCTGGGACCCTTCAGTCCGCAGGCCGACGCTCTATCCATTGAGCCAAACCGGTTTCGGCGCACACTCTCCTCTTGAGCAACGTTCCCTGGCTCCCAGCCCTGGCTTCCTCTTTCCTCCATTCTCTAGTTTCCTTCTGGTCTTAGATAAAACCTGTCCTTCCTTTTAGCTCCTTGCCTTCTCTAAAAGGATAGTTCTTTCTCTTCCTAAACCCTAGTCTTGCGTTCCTTCATGATAGACTGCCCCCCTGGGGGTGGAAGTGTAGGGAAATTCAATATTGTAATTTTTTACTCGTTATACAATCATAAAATGAGGGTGCAAAATGTAAGTATTCTGTTGCGGGCAGAGAAAAGGGGTCTGCCTAGTTTCTTTTGGCTTCCTTCCTTTATCATCATGAAGGTGTTTTAGTGTTACACCGACTCATTCTTTCCTTGGGTCCCTAGGGGAAGGAAACAGGCAATGGTCAATTGACTAAAAGTAATATGGAGCAATAAATCAGAACTATTGAAATGCTATGGCTCCCCAGATATTCTTGTGTGACATCAAACAGTAGGATCAGATAAGAGAGAGTTGGCTACCCATTGTATTCAACATAAATTATGACAGGTAAATTTTCATTAATTATAGAATTGATGGTACTCTAAAAGAAGTTGGATATAAATCAGGTTTTATTTAATTGACAATAATCCTCTGTTATGGAATATGGTAATATATCAGGTACTTGGACTCCAGCCTGCTGAAACTCACAGGTTCCTGGAATGGCTCTAGATCAGGTTAAGTATCAGTTAGTTATTGCTACATACAAAGTACTCTCAACTCAGTGGCTTCCAACAAACATCATTTGTTATTTCTCCCAAATCAAGGGCGAACTGGGGGGCTGGCTGATCTCCACTATCAGTTAGTTATTGCTAACTGCCTGTGGTTTCCTGGGGCTCCTGCTCTAGGCTGACTTACCTGCAATAGATCTGTTCCATGTGTCATTGATCCTCCTTCTGAGACCAGCAGACATGCCTGGGAATGTTTTTCTCATGGAAATGTCAGGAATCCAAGAAAGCAAGCATAAATACTAACAGCTCTTGAGACCTAGGCTAGGAACTAGTCTACTGTTTTTGGCAATTACCTCACTCAACTGGCAAAACACATCAAATGGTCAAACTCAGATTCAAAGGTGGAGGGGAGATTCGGCCTCTTTAGTGAAACTACAAAGTCACATGGCAAAGGATGTGGATACAGGATGGATAAAGAATTAGGTCAATTAAGTGATTTCCATAGCTATCTACTAGCTATAATAAAAAAACCAAAGATTAAATGAGCTGTAGGATTTAGTTGATTCATTGCCTGGAAGAAAAGAGCTCTATTATTGTGACATATATAGACATATAGTGACATATATAGACAAAATCATAAAATTAAGGGGAAAGAGAGGGAAAGAGACAAGTTAGAAAACAAAGAAAGGGGAGGAGAGGGGCAGACAGCAGTGATGGTAAAAATCAGAGGACACTGGAGCAGTCCCTGCAGCACACATGTATTGTGAAGATATAATAATGATGTCAGAAATTACCTTTCTAACTTGAACCATTGTTTTTAAACAGATTTCACATAAAAATCCAAATTTCTGGCTTTTCTGGAAAAACTGGAAGCTCTGCAACACTGGGTCCACTCCTACATGGTCCTTCAGTTCTCCAGAACTCAGTAGTGGGCTGTTAACTATTCTATCCATTCATTTACTTTACCTCCCCAGCCCTTGAGGCCATTTGTGTTTGCTTTATACAGTACTAGTTCTATTAGTTTCTGTTTCTTAAGTTTTAGATGGGTTTCTGGAATACTCATTACTTACTGAACATCTGTAATGAATGCCCTACAGGCACCTCAAACTCAGTATTATCAGTAAAATAAAAACTAAAGCATCCTGCCCTCCCCCATGCAGCATACTCTCCTCCAATAGTTCCTACCTCCTTTGTCCAAGCTAGAAACCTATCCATTACTTTGACTTTTTCCCCTGTGTCAAATATACTAGAAAATATGACTTCATTCACAATAAAACAACAGAGTACCCACGAAATAAACTAAGAAACAATGCCTAAGACCTTTATCATGAAAAGTATTAGAACCCTATTAAAGTACAAACAAGAATGAATAAATGGAACAAAAAAAGAATGTATGTGGATAGACTACCTTTTTATCCCCCCTCTTCTTTTTGGATGGGATATCTTAACATAGTAAAGTTTTGTTAATTATTCCCAAAGAAAGCTATACATTCAATGAAATCTTAATAAAAATCCCATTGGATTGTTTGAGGAACTCAACAAACTCATTCTAATATTTATATGGAAAACAGGGGTTCATGAATAAATCAATTTTGAAAAGTAAAAGCAGAGTAGCAACTTTTCCCACCAGATATTAATATATACTACAAAGCCAAAGTGATGAAAATAGAATGGTTCTGCTTAGGAACAGACTAATATACAAACAAAACAGAATAGAGAGCTCAGAAATAGACCCATGCATATATGGGAATTTGATAGATGATAAAGGTGGTACTACAAAGGAATGTAAAGGAGATGGTCTGAAGAAAACTAGGTCATTTTGTGGAAAAATACATCTGAATCCATCCAGTTGGAGTGGAGAACTAAATGTGAAAGTTAAAATTATAATGTTATAGAAGAAAATATGACTTAGGATGGGAAAAGACTTTATGAATAAGATTTAAAAGCCCAAATCATAAAGCATATGAAATGAAATTAAATAAAAAAATTAAGGATTTCTGTTCAATAAAAAAAACTACAGACAAAATTATCAGATATATAACAGATTGAGAGTAGATATCTGTAAAGGATTAGTATCTAGTTTATAGAAAGAACTGCCAAAAAAACCCAAAAAACAAACCACACATCCGCCAAGAAATAGGCAAAAAATATAAATAGGCAATTCACAGAAGGGAAAGTCCAAATAGCCATTTCAACAAAAAAATGAAATCCTCTGGTAATCAGAGAAGTGCAAATTAAAACAACAATGAACTACCTCTTTACATTCACAAAAATGGCAAAAAATACAAGAGTGACTAACATTATGTATTAGGATGTGGAGGACACAGAACTCCTGTGCACTGTTGGTGAGAGGGTAAAGGTATATAGCCATTCTGGAAAACCATGTAGTGAAACATAGTGAAATCAAATGTTTGCCCTATAAACCAAAAATCACATTCCTTGCTACCTATCCCAAAGAAATGAGTGCACAGGTCAATAAAATGGCACGAACAAGGCTCGCTTTTTCATTGTGCTATTGTGTTAATAGGCAGTGATGGCGAACCTATGACACGCGTGTCAGAGGTGACACACAAACTCATTTTTTTGGTTGATTTTTCTTTGTTAAATGGCATTTAAATATATAAAATAAATATCAAAAATATAAATCTTTGTTTTACTATGGTTGCAAATATCAAAAAATTTCTATAGGTGACACGGCACCAGAGTTAAGTTAGGGTTTTTCAAAATGCTGACACACCGAGCTCCAAAGGTTCGCCATCACTGTAATAGAGAATTGGAGATAACTTAGATGTTGACAACTAGTGGACTAAATAATATGTGGCATACATATATCTTGAAATACTATGCAGCACTTAGTATATTGTTAATTACTAATATTAATAACTAATAAAATTAATAACATTCATTTTTTAAAAATTTTAATCAAATACTATTTATGTAAAAGAAATAGACATGAAACATTTTATAAGGATAGATTTACATTTAAGGACATAAACCACACAAGTGAGAGTGGGTATTCATATAGACAGAAAGGAGGTAATGGGACTGATGAATAGAGATATAGAGCTACAGTAAAACAAAAACCACCTCCACCGCCCAAACAGAAGGGCCGCCCATGGGCCAATGTTGTTGATGTTCTGTGAACTAAGGAGTATGATTAAGTACAAAATAATAACTAAAAACACAAATTACAAAATCAAAAAAAAGTGAATAACGTCAAGTAGTATGCTTCGCAAGGGCAAAAGCCTGAGACCAAAGGCTGCGAGCTTCTCTGCCACTCCAGGTCTTCCTTAGCTACGTTCCCACACCCCCACGGACCGCCCTGCCCCCACAGTCGGCGGGAAGTGCGCATGCGCACGGTGAGGCCCTTCCCGCTCCCCGTCGCTTCTCTTCCGGTTTCGGCCCCGCCCACCGCGGGCGCTGTCGTTTCCGGTTCAGCTCGGGAACAGCCGGAGCGCTTTGGGCCTTCGCTTCTTAGGTCCTCCCACTTCTCTAAACGCTCCCGCGACTGCCTCGGTCGCTGGGGAAGGTATTTACCAATAAAGTTTTACTATTTCAAAGCCGGGCGGATTGGGCTGGGTCCAACCGCCTTCCGCGGGCAGTTCCTCTCGGCTCCTGGCTTCGAGCTTCCGGCCGTCATGGCCAGGGGCCGCCGAGGCCGGGCGGGTTTGAGGCCGCCTTTCGCTGCCCACGCACTCGCGTGGCTCCTGGGGCCGCCGGCGTCCACCTCCGTCTGAGCGCAGCCCCTCGGCGCCCACGGGCCGCCTCGCGCCGGACCCCATGGCGTCCGAGGCGCCGTCTCCTTCGTTGTCTCCATCGCCACCCACCTCCCCTGAGCCGGAGCTGGCCCAGCTGAGGCGGAAGGTGGAGAAGTTGGAACGCGAGCTGCGGAGCTGCAAGCGGCAGGTGCGGGAGGTGGAGAAGCTTTTGCACCACACGGAGCGGCTGTACCAGAGCGCCGAGAGCAACAACCAGGAGCTCCGCACCCAGGTGCGCGGTCCGCCGGCCCCGCGCCCCGCCCTGCCCCGCCCCGCCCGCCCCGGCCTTCGAAGCCTCTGAGTCCCCTGGCACTTGAAAGAAATAAAAGTTCAGTGCGATTAAAATTCCACGTGCATTTGGAGCAAACCTAAGAGTTCCGGTTACTCGATTTAGATAAGCGCGCGAGCAGAAGTTCCGGCCGGTGTGCGCTGACTTCGTTCTCTCGGCATTGCCCGCTGGCAGTAGGCACATGTAGTACCTTTCCAGGTCACCTTTTGGGGTTTCTTAAAGCGCCGGGACTGTCATCAGAATCCCCTCTGTCACTAGATGTGCGAACTGACCCTGACCCTCGGTTGCCCATGAAAAAGAATGCTAGCACCGCCCAGGTGAAGGTTCAATCCATTTAAGCGTGAACAAGCCGTTGAGCATTGTGTAAGGTGGTCATTCTGGGAGTTTATCATTTTGAGTTTTCTGTTGGAAGTAGGGAAGATAGAACTTTCCTTGCTAGAGACTAAGCAGCTAACTTCATTTTTATAAAATACATTAAGGACAGATATTTAAACTGTCACACTTTTAAAAAAAACTTCTAAAGAGGAGCATAGTGCTTTTTTCCAACTTGATTTGTTTGGCGGTTGCACTGTGTCCTGATAAGTTATTTTCACATAATTATTAATTTCAATTAAACTGTTGTCTAGTCCTTTGTAATATATGGGGTACCATTGCTAAAACCACATATGTAGTCTGAACCCTAAAATGTCATCAAACTTTGATATGCCTTATTATCAAATGATCTATGAAAAGAACTGCTGAGTTGCAATGACTTGGTGTGCCCATTGCATAGTTATTGACATTATGATATTATAGAAAATTTGGATTTGTTTATTCAACTAGTTTTTGAATACCTGTAATGTTTAAGGACAGTGCTAGGAGACTACAAATATTGTTAAAAAACCTTGGGGGAAGGGAAGCAAAATATGACAGCCTTTTAAAAAACCTTTTTATAAATTCCAATTGTTCAAGTAGTGCCTGCTTTAGAGAGAGATCCTAAAAAAAACAAATAAACATGCTTGCTAACAGTTGAAGAGCCAGCAGTTTGGTTATTAGTGTTAATTTAAGAGTGGTCTAACATGAAACATTGAAATGGATGGAAAGTCTTGACTCTACTGGTGATGGTCATTACTCCTTACTCTCCTCCTAATCAGCCTCCCCTGGTGGTGGTAGAGTTTGGTTGTTAACTGTCACCCCCAATTACTAAATAGTATTTTATCTAGAGCAGTAAAAAGTGGGTTGAGAATTGAGGGTGAACTGTTAAAAAACATATGTACAGGCTTTGGAGGCAGTATAAACTTGTGCAAATTACTTTGTCTCCAGATTTCTCACATATAAAATGGGGATTAGGAAAACTAATTTGTGAGATGGTAGTAAGAATTAATAAAGATGTTACCCAAAGTGACAAATATAGTGCCTAGCACGTAGCAGATACTAAAGAAATGATCTAGTTGACAGTAATAGTGGTAGTGGCAGAGCAGAGCCGAGACTGGACGAGGCAATCCGTAGTCTAGGGTGAAAAATTTAAGAAGGCACTGACTCTCAGGTATAGACCCAATACTTGCGGGAAGCTGAGGCTGAGTGCCTCCTTAATTTGCTACCTAGGTGCCTTGCTTGATTCGCCCTAGTTCCAGCCCTGGTTGTATGAGCAGATCTGATCATTTATGAAGTGCCTAGATCATATATAATCAGTTTTTTTATATGTTTTTATTGATTTCAGAGGAAGGGAGAGGGAGAGTAGACACATTAATGATGAGAGAGAATTGTTGATCACCTGCCTCCTGCACGCTCTCTACTGGGGATTGAGCCCACAACCTGGGCTTGTGCCTCAACCTCCCAGGTCATAGGTTGATATGCAACCACTGAGTCACACCAGCTGGGCTATATATAATCAGTTTTATCCCCTTTCTCTTTTTAAGCTTTATATATTATTAAAGAAATAGAAGCTTGTTTTTTAGTTTCTTTCAGGCCTGTAATAGACTTCTCACTCTTAGGTATTGTCTGAGGTGTATTGAGGAGGCTGCTCCTCATTGCTTATGGCTGTTTCTGCACTCTGTTGCTCTAGCTTTGGCAGTCAGTGAGGCACAGGGAGAATGGATGCCCCTCTGAGGCAGTCACTTCTCTTCTCTTCTGATGCAGTATTGAGTCATAAGACTACAATTTAAAGAAAAATCATACATTAAAGTACTTTTTAAATTAAATGCATGAGAATTAATGTTTTTTCCCCCTAATTCTTTAGAGAGAACTGCTGACCAATTAAAATATTAGTATAAAAACATTCTTATTTTTTGGAAATAAAGGATTCTGTTCATAAAGTCCTATTAATTTAGTCTATTTGATTTTCAAAGGGGATATTTTGAGGTTTAGCAAGAGAATATAAGAATAAAAAGCATTTCCCTCTGCAAATGTAAAAGATGAAAGAAAGTAAATGATAGTATTTTCAGTTTTTCTGAAAAGGAAACTGCCTACTATTGGTACTTCTCTAAAAGTTATACCAAGAAAAAAATAATTATTGTAATTTCAAGAGAATGGTGTGCATGTTTTTAGATTGCTATATGATTTCTTTTTCCTAAAGCCTTGTTTTCTTTTAGGTAGAAGAGCTCAGTAAAATACTCTATTGTGGGAGAAAGGAAGATAATAAGTCTGACGTAGAAGTACAAACAGAGAACCACCCTCCTTGGTCAATCTCAGGTATTTAGTTGATATTGGAGATACCCTAACATTTATCACATTCAAATCATGCTAATATGTAATTTTCACTAAATTTAAAATAGACAAATGTCTAGATAAATATGAGGACTGTTACAAGGTTGTCTTCTCTCCATATGATTACATATTTCATTTTCAGGTAATTGATTTGCTCTTCTGATGCGAAAGTAGAAATGCATTGTCATTCCTATAAATACACAGGATTACTACTGTGTCTTTAGTGACACATTCACTGAGTAACTTCTCTCATATCTGGTCTTCCATGTGACCAGGTGCATGTGTTTTCTTGTTGATGCATTCCACTTAATATTGTGTTCAGTGACAGTCTCTTAAGCCTTTGTGGCAATGGTGAGCCCACAACCATGACCTCATCAGTGGAATTATGTTGTGAGGCAAAATAACTGCGTAACTGAGTTGTAATAAGTAGGGATCAAAAGTTATTTTTCCATTAAGTTTGTCTTATTTTATTAATTTAGTTAAATTGCTAAACACAGCAATAGGATTAATATTACATGTCTGCATGATAATATATATTTTTTTAAAGTCAGCATCATGAGAGTTATTTGACAGAGAAATCAACCTTTGACATGTCTTTATTCCATTGACATTTGATATGCAATGATATTAACCTTTGTGGTTAGAAATTGTTAAGAGTTGCTAATTTTTTTTTGACAGAATACAACTTATTTACCTATTTTCTTTTTTAGTCTTGCTATGGAAAATACCAATCTGCTTACCTTTTTTAATTTTTTTAGCTTGACAGCTAGGGTACTTAAAGTGACATTAGAATCAAAGATAAAAGCATCTGCAGATTTATCTGCACTATCAATTTTAATCTGTTAAAATGTGTACAACTATAAAAATATGGTTTGCAGTGTGTACTGTTTTGTTTCAGTGCCAATATTTTAGAATTCTAAGTCCTTTTTATATACACTATGCTAATATGTATCACAATTTGTTTTTGCTATAGATTATTATTATCAGACATACTATAAGGATCTTAGTCTTCCAAATAAAGTGACAGAACTTTCAGTGCAGCAAGATCAGGATATCGAAGCTTCTGCTTATAATTTTAAAGACCAGTCACAAATAGAAAATGATGTGTATGCTGGTACTGATGTAACGGAAAAGGTTGAGTGTGAACAAGAGGACCATTTTGCCTTAAATTCACAGGTAATAAAATGCTACTACTACTGATGCCCAAGAACTTGGCCTTCATTATTATTATTATGCAAATTGACTTCTTTGGTCCATGACAACATATACAAGGGTTGTAAATATTCTGTGTATAATTATGCAGAATATTACACTTTTAGAGAAACAAAAATTGCTCATATATTTGTTTCCTACTTTGTTGTGTTCTAAAATCTTGTGATGTACATAAACTAAAACAGAAAATTTGTCATATTTTGGCTCAATCAAAAAATTTTGTGCAACTACCACAGTAACTTTGTTCACAACAATTTTGTTTTTAAATTCTCATCCAAGGATATGTTTTTATTGATCTTTTTGAGAGAGAGAGAGAGGAACAGGGGGATGGAGGGAAGGAGAGAAACATCAGTGTGATAGAGAAACATCGATCAATTGCCTCCCTTCCATGCCGGACTGGGGACCGAACCCGCAACCTAGGTATGTGCCCTGACTGGGAATCAAACTCACCACCATTTTATGTATGGGATGACATTCCAACCAACTGAGCCACCGGCCAGGGCTACACAAAAATTTTTTAATGCTTCCTCTCTGTCATATATCCTGCCACTGTTCAGATTTTTGTAAGTTGGATGTTTTATAATTTTTTTTCTGTAGTTGTGTGTTTGAATCAGGATCCCAGTAAGGTTTATACAGTGCAACTGCTGAGGCTGTGATAAATCTCACATAATCCATAGCTTTCTCTTCCATCTCTCTTCTAAAATGTTTTTTCCCTTTGGACCTATGATTATGGAAGACTCTAGATAGTTTGTCTTAAAGTGTACTTCAGAGTCCATATTTTGTGGATTACTTCCCTATGGTATTAGGCATTTATTTTTAAGTAATGGTCAGTGTTTTCAAAACTGAGTCAAAATTGAATTAACTGATAAATATTTTTTAAGTGAATCAAATTGTAATTGATAGCCATCCCTTCCATTGCAGAAATTGAAGCCTTATTATTTAAAATAGCTCTTAAGTCTATTTATTATTTCTAATTTTGCTAACTTTTAAGTTGCTATAAGAATATTTTTGTCTTATTTGACATGAATTTATCTTATCTAGGAACCAGCATCTGCATTAGCAACAGAGGATGCATCCTTAGAAGGTTCATCATTAGCTGAAAGTTTGAGAGCTGCAGCAGAAGCTGCTGTATCACAGACGGGATTTAGTTATGATGAGAATACTGGACTGTATTTTGACCACAGCACTGGTTTCTATTATGATTCTGTAAGTATCTCAAACCTTTCAGTACTGTAATTGTATACTTAGATGCTTGATACCAAATATTAAACCCTAAACTGAACTAAGGAAAGCAAGAAGCTGCATTTAAAAATTATGTTTGATTCAAAGGTATTTGACAAGAGTAAAAAATTACAAAATAGCTTGTGAAGCTATAATTTTAGGTTTATAATTAAGTAAGTTAATTGTGATTATTATAAATTGATGTAATATAAAGGAATGTACAAAAATGTTGGAGTATTAATAAAGGCAGACAACTACATTATTGGAAAATTTTAAGAACCTACACTAACATTTTTTAATAGAATTTATAAGGAAGTGACATTGTTAACTCTAGGCTTGGGGTGAGATTTGTTTGTTTCAAATACTTATGAACCATTTGAGGCCACAGGCGGGGGGGGTCTTTTTCTTGAATTCTCATTAGCATGTTTATTATTAGTATTTTATATTCTTTGGATTTTAAGCATTTCACTTTTATAAAATCAATCTGTTAACAGTGAGAACTAGGAAAGCAGTGTGGAATCAGAAATATAATGGGCCACTGACTAGGACAGAACTAGAAAATTAAGTTCTTGATTTATACAGTGTAATGGCTGTTGAAGTCTGGTACTTAATTGGATTTTTAATCAGGACTTGACAATGATGATGAAACTCACCCACATACCTCAACCTTGGTGGTCTAGGCATGTGATCTGATCCTCAGGAATTATAGAATCTAATGCCCAAAAGTGGACCAGGTATTCACTATTCCAGTTCTGGAAGTATTGTTAACTAACCTAGGGAACATAATGATATTGCTAAATATCTTAAATAGGGATTTCATTAGCTAGTTTGCACTTAGTATATGGACTTTGTAAATCCTTTGTATAGAGAGGGTTTTCTTTCACTGGAGTATGCTTATAGATAATGCTAGTTAATATCTAGAAAACTAATGTTTAAATGCTTATTACTAAAGAGAGTAAGCTATTCCTTATTTGGTTTCTAAGAAAATACGGAGTTTCTGAGTATATGACATTCTTCTTTATCATTCTTTTACCTTCCTTTCTGTATCTTTCCTACAGACATTCTGTAAATGGTTATTTACATTCTGCAGGTTATATGTCTCAGTAAAATAGGGACCTAGTTGTTTTGCCATTTTTATTGTGCTAATTTTCATCTTTTAATTAAATAAAAATTTAAATATGTCTTTGAAAATGCCTGTATTTTGGACTGAAGGACATACCAGATTAAAAGGTTTGAGTTTTAAACATTCTGTTATCACTAGAAATAAGATTAGAGCACATTCATTCAGTGTTTTAGTTACGTGAAATATAGCATTAAAAATATTTTTGTAAGAAATCTACAAAATGGATTAAAGACAATAAATTGCAATATCAACAGTTGGAAAAATAAACTATCTTTTTCAAGAAGTTATAGTTTAATCTCAGTATGTCATGAGGTTTGATCTGCATGGATTTCTGATGAAAAGAAAATACAAGCTTTTAATTAAGTCTTGATTATAGAGTATTGGCCAATATCTAAAAAATACAGATTGCATAATTTAATCTTTCTAGTTTTTATCTATAATTTGCCAAAATTTATTTTTGTGTGGCTGCTTTACTTTTAAGTCTTTAGATACTGTAGAATTAATTAAGTGAAGATGATTTTTAAATCAATTTCTTTGTGTAAAAAGTTATGGACTTAACTTTATTTCCAAGTTTTTCTATAAGACTTTTAGTCATGAACATTCAAAGGCAAATCTTTGTTTTATGACATTGAGAAAAGGGTTCAGGGGTTTATAGTACCAAACCATTATTGTGTAATTTTAAAGATATGAGTCTGTAATTGCTTCCATGTGCTCAGCTTTTTCTGGTGCATGCCTTCGTTTTCATAACTTCTAAAAGGCTTCTTGTTACAATCTTTTGTTGATGTATTAAGTTGAACCATATGAAATTGCTGTTTCTGTAAGTTAAAAAAGTGGTGAAATGTTGGTAATTTCATGATTCAATTTAATATTTAAATGTTCACATTTTTTCACCCCAGGAAAATTAGAGCAGATATTGAATGGTAAAGTTATTTTGAAAAATTACATATTTTTGAAAACACCTATATTTTGGACTGAAGGACATAACAGATTTTTCTTTAAAAAAAAAGTTTTTATGGGTTTTAGAGTGAGAGGAAGGAAGAGGGAGAGGGGGGAGAGAGCCTGAGAGAGATATCAATGGGAGAGAAACTTTGATTGGCTGCCTCCTGCTTGCCCCTTACTGAGGCTTGAGCCCACAATCCAGGCATGTGCCCTGACCTGGAACAGAATCAGTGACCTCTCGCTGCATGGGATGATGCGCAACCAATTGAGCCACTCCTGCCAGGGCCAAGCATTTTTCATTGTGATATTTTTAATTACTATCGTCAGAAAATACTATAGTTCTTAAAAGAAACAAACATTTACTATATTTGAATATGTTTGACATTTCTGTTGTTTATTTTTATATTTTATCTTATATAAATAGTACTCACTGTTTTGATTTTAAAAGGAAAATCAACTATATTATGATCCTTCCACTGGAATTTATTACTACTGTGATGTGGAAAGTGGTCGATATCAATTTCATTCTCGAGTAGATTTGCAACCTTATCAGACTTCTGGCACAAAACAAAGTAAAGATAAAAAGTTGAAGAAGAAAAGAAAGGATCCAGATTCTTCTACAGCAAATGAGGAAAAGGTATTGTCTTCTAATTTTTAAAATTTACATAATGGTGATGTAGTTAAGTCAAAATTTTTGATGAAACTGAAAATCATTCAGTAACTGCATTTCAAACATATCCATTAAAGTAACAAGGTATCAGAATCTATTAATTAAGGAGCGTTTGTTTACATTGGTCTGTTTCACAAATTCTCAGTCACTAGAAGTCAAGTAATTTCTTAAAAGTTTGAAGGAGGTATATTTAGGGCAAATAAGATACTCTTAAGTTACATAATTTGGAAGAAGAACTTTCAGACCCTTAGTTGATAAGTTGATGTCAGTGCACAATTCACAATAAAACAAAAACATAGTTTATAAGTAGATGTATATAAAAATTCTGCTTTCTTAGTCACTTTGAGCAATTTCTTACCTATATTATGTTAGCAAACATTTAAAAAAATCCATTTCTGGCAAATAAAGAGTAGATATATTTTCATTAGTAGTGTAAATTGGTATCTTTTTGGAAAATAAATTGGCTGTATCAGTAACTGTAAAAATGTTGATCTTTTTAAATTGGAAAATCTCATTTCTGGTAATTTATTGTCTATATACTAATATATGAAAGCCTAAGCAACCAGAGGAGTGGCTGGTAGTTATGACATGCACTGACCACTAAGGGGCAGATGCTCAATGCAGGAGTGGAAACCACAGGCATGGAAACATGGAACAGACTGATGAATCTCAGAGGGAAGGAGGGAGGGAGGGCGGGAAGAGATTAACCAAAGGTCTTATATGCATACTAGAGGCCCAGTGCACCCTCTCGCAATCCGGGACCCCTTAGGGGATGTTGGACTGCTGGTTTTGGTCCGATCCCCACAGGCCAGGCTGAGGGACTCCACCTGCTGGAGGGACCCTGCTCACTCTGCAGATGCCCTTTAAGCCCCTGTGCCACCCCAGGTGCGGCTGGCCGGGGAGGAACCGTGGGAGGTTGGCTCCAGGGCATGTCCGGCCTGTCTCGCCCAGTCCAGCCCCGCCAGCCACCTTCTAATTAATTTCCTTTCAATGTGCACGAATCTGTGCACCAGACCTCTAGTTATTTTATAAATCCAAAGAAAGAAAAATGCCTTTAATTATATAGCAATATTTATAAGAACAGAGAGTTAATAGTTCAAATGACCCAAAAGATATTGGTTAAGAAAATGATAATACATTTAATTGGAAAAGCATTATTTATGACTTAAAATGGTAGTTGTAAGGAGTGAGGGGAATTTTTTTAAAAAAATGTATTTTTATTGATTTCAGAAAAGAAGGGAGAGGGAGAGAGAGATAGAAACATCAATGATGAGAGAGAATCATTGATCAGCTGCCACCTGCACGCCCCCCTACTGGGGAACGTTCCGCAACCTGAGCATATGCCTTTGACTGGAATTGAACCTGGGACCCTTCAGTCTGCAGGCTGATGCTCTATCCACTGAGCAAAACCAGCTAGGGCAGAGTGAGGGGAATTTTAAAAATAGTTACAATACGTTAAATTGAAAAAAGGAAAATAACAAAAAAGTTACTAATGCTTGCTCTTATTTCTACTCACTTCACAGATAAGGTTGATGGTTTATAAGCAGGAAAGGAGGCTTATTGTGATTTCTGGCAACTATTTGATACTTTACTCTTAAGATATTATCTCATGTTTTCTCTTCTTCACCAAGGGGAAAACATTTTTAAATGTATAATACCAAAGTTCAAAGATGGAATTGGTATTTTGTTGAATTTATCTTCTGTTCTTTGTTTGATTTGTTATTTCTCTACTATTTTCACTGAGTTCATAAGAATTGAAGAATATGTGACTAAAATACTAAAAATGATTTTTCTCTTTGCTCTCGAGAATTATGTTTTAATCACTCCTACTTGTTACTAGTGGTTGAACCGTTTGAGAAGATAGGTTGTAAAATTACTTCTGCCTAGCAATAAGAAAAGAACATATACCTATCATCAAAAGGCCTTTCCTGACAAAGTAGAGAATGACATTTGAAAGCATTCGGTGTGATTTTGGTTTAGTTTAGCTCCCATAACTGCTTATCTCTGTTTTTATTTTATTTATCTGTTTTAATTTAATTTTTAATCCTCACCCGAGGACATGCTGAGAGAGGGAGAGAGGGGGGGGGGGAGAGAGAGAGAGAGAGAGAGAGGAGAGAGGAGAGAGGAGAGAGAGAGAGAAAGAAAGAAACATCGATCGACTGCCTTTCATAGGCGCCTCAACCAGGAATTGAACCGCAACTCTTGGGTGCACAGGATGATGCTCAACCAACTGAGCCACTCTGACTGGGACCATAAATGCATCTTTTTATCATCCTTCGAAAATATGTGAACTCCAGGACAGGGACTTAGGAAAAAATTCTGATGAAATTTTGAGAATTCTAAAAGGTAGTTGTAAAGCATGGGAGACCAGTTAAGACAGAGGTCCTCAAACTTTTTAAACAGGGGGCCAGTTCACTGTCCATCAGACATTCCACGCATGTGCACTGTGGGCCCGGGATGAGTCGGCTGCTAAGCAGGACAGGCAGTGGAGGCAAAACACCTGGCGGGCCGGATAAATGTTTTCAGCGGGCCGCATGTGTCCCGTGGGCCGTAGTTTGAGGACCCCTGAGTTAAGACATCCTCACCTCTTCTTTATTTTTTAAGGTACTCATGACCCTCATTCTTTGTAGATGGAGGGTATGTGGAAAGAAGAGAGTAGAGTGAGGTGATTCGAGTAATTAACTTGAAATATGCATTTATACCTCAATGCCCACATGTAGGCCCCCTTATCTCTTAATGTTTAACATTCTGGCAAATAGTTTTTTTAAAAGTAGCACCTCTGGCAATTTCACTCATTTTCCCCTTGCATATGCTGTCCTATAAGCAGTAATAAAAAAATACACGACTGGAAACTGCTTTTTAAAAAGAATACTTAGATAGGAAAATTTTTTGTTATAATTCACAATGACCTTTAAAGCTCATAGTTGTTCAGCTCCTTGCCCTTGTTCTTGTCCTTTGTGAGTTTGTAGTGCTGGAAGTGTATATAGTTTATTACACTGTGAGTGTTGAGCCAGTCTCCAAACTGAATTTATGCTACTGTTAAAATATGTGTTTAAGATGCTCTCATATTTTATAAAATAACAGAAGAATATATGAATTCACTTCATCATGTGGCTGTAAGGTAGAAAGAAAATTCATTGTGTTACAAACCAAAGAAATAAGGGAACATAATAACTCTATGCTTTTTCTATGGTTAAAAGAATAGATTTGTTGATTTATCAAAAGGCATGCCCAATATAATTGTATAATCTAAACTAATAAAAGAGAAACATGGTAATTAGCGTACAACCACTACCCTTCCCATTGGCTAATGAGCATATCCTTATGCAAATTAACTGCCAGCCAAGATGGCGGCCGGAAGCCATGCACTGAAGCGAACAGGGAGGCTTGCTTGCTCCAGTGATGGCGGACTCCAACGTTCCCCACCTTGCCGGCCTCGCAGCTGCAACTCTAAGCAACTATGTTGCAAATATAGAAGCTAAACAAAACCCCAGAAACCGGCTTTCAGTCAGCTGGGCTTCAGCCAGCCTGACCGCAACATTGTATCAATGTTTTCAGCAGCGAGACCTCAGAGCTAAAGCTGGCCCAGAATAAAAAAAATAAGTAAATAAATAAAGGAGCGGTTGGGAGCTTCAGTCACCCGCCAGCCAGAAAAAGGCCCTCAGTCCCTCAGCCAGCCTGGCCAGGCACACCAGTGGGGACCCCCACCCTGATCCAGGACACTCTTCAGGGCACACCAGCCGGCCCCCACCCTGCCTGCAACAGGCCTCTGTCCTATATAGTAAAAGGGTAATATGCCTCCCGGCACCGGGATCAGCGGAGCAATGAGGCCTCCCGGCACCGGGATCAGCATGACAGGGGGCAGCGCCCAAACCCCCTGATCGCCCTGCGGCTCTGTGTGTGACAGGGGAAGGCACCCCAACCCCCTGATCAGCCCTGCTCTGTGCCTGACCAGGGGCTGCACCTAGGGCTTGGGCGTGCCCTCTGCCACCCGGGAGCAGGCCTAAGCCAGCAGGTTGTTATCTCCCGAGGGGTCCCAGACTGCGAGAGGGCACAGGCCGGGCTGGGGGACCCCCCCCCCCAGTGCACAAATTTTTGTGCACCGGGCCTCTAGTCTATATATATAAAACCCTAATATGCAAATAGACCAAATGGTGGACCAGCCAAACAACCAGTTGCTATGATGTGTGCTGACCACCAAGGGGCGCATGCAGGACACGGCAGGCGTTGGCCTTGGCGGGATGGTGGAGCAGGTGAGCCGGGGCGCCAGACCAAGGCATGGCTTTGGTCGCTGTCATTGGGGCGAGCCTCTGGTGGTTACCGAAAACTCTTTACTCCCATGTGCCACAGTCCAGCCTGGTGCTTGCACCTGCTGCTGACGCCAGCCCCACTCGCACCCGCTGCCAGTGCCAAAGCTGCTGCTTGCACCCGCTGTCGACGCCTGGCACCGGCCCTGATCACTTGGCGCCATCAGCGGGTGTGAGCAGCAGCTGCTGGTCCCGATCACCCCTGAGGGCTTTTCCACCTCCCCCTGCTCCTGAGGGGTGATCAGGGCAGCAGCTGCTGCTTGCACCCGCTGACAGCGCGGGCCCCAATCGCTCCACACCATCAGTGGGTGCGAGTGGGGCTGGTGCCGTCAGCGTGTGGGAGCGATGGTGGCGGGGGCGGGGATGCCAGCAGATGGGACCAGGGGCTGCAGCAGGAAGGGCCGGGTGGGGGCGTGGAGGATGGGCCAAGACTTCCTGTGCCCACTGCAGGCTCGCAGCCCACAGTTCCTTTCAAGGTGCACGAATTCGTGTACTGGGCCCCTAGTAAATTATAAAAGGCTTATGCTAGGTAATTTGGAATTTTGGAATAAAAGGGATATAACTGATTAATCTGTAGATTAAGCAGTTGTGTATTTTCAAATCAACTCTATAAAGTGCTAATTTTTTAAAAAATATGCTTTTATTTTTAGAGAGAGAGGAAGGGAGAGGGATAGAGAGATAGAAACATTGATGAGAAACATCATTGATCAACTGCCTCCTGCACACCCCCTACTGAGATTGTCCTGCAACCCAGGCATGTGCCCTGACTGGGAATCTACTAGTAACTGGTGATCTCTTTGGTTCTTGGGTTACTCAACCACTGACCCACACTGGCTGGGCTATCAAGTGCTAAATTTTAGCAAAACTATTCTGCTACATTAGGTACATTTGGATTTTTAAATCCCTGCTGTAATGAAAGCCAACTCTGTATTTTATGGAACTTGATAATTGGTTAAAAGTTCAAAACAAAATTTAGGGTAGCTGTATTCTCCAGGCCTTCACTTGGTCCAGTAAGGTAGCCTCTAGCTACATGTGGCTACTGAGCACTGGAAGTATAGCTGGTAAGTATAAACTACATTCTATTTTGAAAATAGTCCAAAAAACCCATGTAAAATATTTCATTGGTAGTTTTAATATTGATTAAATATTAATATATATTAAATGGTAGTATTTTGTAAATACTATGTTAGATAAAGTATTAAAATGAATTTCACTTGCTTCTTTTTACCTTCTTAATGTGGCTATTAGAAAATTTTAATTATAAATATGGCTTGCATTATTTTTTTGTTGGGACAACATTGGTCTAGACCAGTGGTCGGCAAACTCATTAGTCAACAGAGCCAAATATCAACAGTACAACGATTGAAATTTCTTTTGAGAGCCAAATTTTTTAAACTTAAACTATATAGGTAGGTACATTGTTATTAACTTAATTAGGGTACTCCTAAGGCTTAGGAAGAGCCACACTCAAGGGGCCAAAGAGCCACATGTGGCGCGCGAGCCGCAGTTTGCCGACCACGGGTCTAGACTGTCACTTGGTCCAAATAATATGTGACAGTTAGGATGTTGAAAATAGATAAGATGAGAGAATTGGGGTAAATTGTAAGCATAGTCTGTATCACTTGGTAATTGATTTCGTGTGGTGGTTAAAGGGATGTCAAAGATAACTAAGATTTTTTATTTGGATGCTAAATGGATGGTAATAAGTTTAATCAAGAAAGGGAACATGAGCAGAAAAAGGGTACAGATAATAGCTGTTGTTATCTCACTGTACCTATATCTTCACTAATTCATTGTAACATTTAGCATTATAAGATGGTCATGTTTAAGATTATCCTCCCCACCCACCTTTTTCCAGGATTTGAATTCAGAGGATCAAAAAGCATCCAGTGTTGAACATATAAACTGCAATGAGGGAGAAGATTGTGCACATGTGAAAAAGAAGGCCAAAGTAGACATTCATTACAAAAATAGTTCCCATGAATTCACTGTTCCAGTTATTGGAAAGACTATAGAATTTCCTCTTAATGACAACATCTATAATTCGACTTCATTTAAAGATGAGAAAATCATAGAGACTGATAGTGAGCCAGAAGAAGGTGAAATTACAGACTCTCAGACTGAGGACAGTTATGACGAAGACATTACCAGTGAAGACAATGTAACTGCAGAAGATACTGAGGATGAAGGTGAGTAAATAACCATTATTTAATTTTACACAAATAACTCAGTCTGGTTATTGTAAACATAGCAACAGTGTTAAAAATGTTAGTATAATATATCTGCCAAAAATTAAACATTGTTTTAAATTGATTATTTTCATGACATCATTGAAAATTTTGTGGGCCACCATTGCTTATTCTTGGGGAGTAGAATGTAAATAAATGACTAACTCTTGAACCTTAAGTTTCATTGCATTGAATGGCCTCGTCAATAGAACACAAACCAAGTTACCTATGCCCTAATCCTAAAGTATGTATTAAGTCTGTTTTAGTGGTTTAGATATTTCTAGCACACTTTTATAATTGAGAGGGGGAGAGCAAATTGCCTTTAAAAAATGTAGTCCATGAATTCAACTATATAGGTATTATATAAATCTATTTTTTTACTTGAGGATATAAAGACATACTTTTAAAACCCAGGATTTCCTATTAGGGTATATGAGTTTATTTTGTTCTTAATGGAATTACTTATATTTTTAAAAAGGGTAGACTCATTTCTTCTAACTTAATATAAACATACTTGTTTGTGACATTTTTAAATTCCAAGACCTTATTTTACAATTGTGATATATGCTGACTTTGCTGAATACCTTTAGTTTGATCACTTTACATTGGTAACAGTGGTAAGCCTTACTAATTGTATGTCATATACCAGGATTTAAGAAGGTTGTTTAAAACAGAATTAAGACTTTTGATTAATAAATTTTTATTTTATGGATACCTCCTACTATCCCTAGACATGTCTAATTTTTTTTCCATAGCATTTGGTTAATATTTACCCACTTGTTTCTTTGACAGATGAGGAAAAAATTTGGCCCCCTTGTATTAGAGTAATTGTTATTAGATCACCAGTGTTGCAGACAGGATCACTTTTTATCATTACAGCTGTAAACCCTGCTACCATTGGAAGGTAAAATGTTTAATATTATATTTATCTTATTTTAGTGGATTGTACATTTCTTAAGCAGTTATCATGAAATGTGCATGGTACTTGTTACTTGAGAACTTGTGCATCGTACCCAAAAAATATTACTGGCACTTACCTTTGTCACTTGGTTTTGGAAATCAGTTGAGGGTATGGCTTCATAGTCCCAAAAGTGGACTGCCTATATATAGAGATAAAAATCTCAATGATCCCTTTCACAGAGATTTTTGTCAATTTTCTTACCTTTTGTACTGCCTTTTTTAGATTTAAATTACTTACGTACACTCAGTATTGGCCTCTTTCTCTGCTTCTTTTCCTTTACCCCTTTGTACCTTATAATCAGCTTGCTAGAGAGGTAGGTTTTAATCATGAATAAGATAATTTCCTTACTTTCTAACTGGAAAAATAATCTATCCTTAATTCAGATTCTATGCAATACCTTAATTTTAAATTCTTAGAGAATAGTACATACATTTTACATGCAATAATAGAAATGGAGCATAGTCAAGTCAATAGATCTGGAATAAGTAATTGACATTAGTAATTGACAATATGAAGGATATTTTGTCTAACTGAATGTTTATTAGCCTGGGATATATGTACCAAAGAATAAGAGTAATTCTGGAATCTTTCAAGTAGGAAATTTAGAGTATGATTAAGGAAACTGGTCTTAGTGTGATAGAGAGACTTGCATTTTAACATATCTTTTGTTTGTTTGTTGTTTAAAGTATTACATATGTCTCCTTTTTCCCCTATTGACACCCCACCCCGGCCACTCCCATCCCCAAGGTCAGGCCCCCACCGCCCCAGTGTCTGTGTCCATTGGTTATGCTAATATGCATGCATACAAGTCCTTTGGTTGATCTCTAACGCCCCCCCCCCCCCTTGCCTCTTGTCTCTGGATCTATTTTTGTTCATCAGTTTATGTTGATCATTATATCCCACATATGAGTGAGATCATGTGATATTTATCTTTCTCCAACTGGCTTATTTCGTTTAGCATAATGTTCTCCAGTTCCATCCATGCTGTTGCAAATGGTAAAAGTTCCTTCTTTTTTATAGCAGCGTGGTATTTCATCATGTAGATGTTTCACAGTTTTTTAATCCACTCATCTGTTGATGGGCACTTAGGCTGTTTCTAGATCTTAGCTATTGTAAATTGTGCTGCTATGAACATAGGAGTGCATATATCCTTTCTGATTGGTGTTTCTGGTTTCTTGGGATATATTCCTAGAAGTGGGATTACTGGGTCAAATGGGAGTTCCATTTTTAACTTTTTTAGGAAACGCCATACTGTTCTCCACAGTGGCTGCACCAGTCTGCATTCCCACCAGCAGTGCATGAGGGTTCCTTTTTCTTCACATCCTCACCAGCACTTGTCGTTTGTTTATTTGTTGATGATAGCCATTCTGACAGGTGTGAGATGGTACCTCATTGTTGTTTTGATTTGCATCTCTTGAATGATTAATGACTTTGAGCATGTTTTCATATGTCTCTTGGCCTTCTGTATGTCTTCTTTCGAAAAATGTCTATTTAGGTCCTTTGCCCATTTTTTGATTGGATTGTTTATCTTCCTTTTGTTAAATTATATGAGTTTTCTGTAAATGTTGGAGATTAAACCCTTATCTGAAATAGCATTGGCAAATATGTTCTCCCATGCATTGGGCTTTCTTGTTTTGTTGATGGTTTCTTTTGCTGTGCAGAAGTTAGTATATCTTTTCTTAAACATTATCTTTTAAAACAAACAAAATATTTTTAAAAATTATTTTCATGTCTCTAAGTGCTGCATTTATATATGCTTCAAAAATTATTAAAGACATGTTTCTTAACTGTGCAGAGAAAAAGATATGGAGCATACTCTCCGAATCCCTGAAGTTGGTGTCAGTAAGGTAAGCTCTTTGATTTTACAAATACAGCACATTGATATAATTTTGTAAGTCATCATTATAGCAGAAAGCTTAGAGTTTTTCCAATTTACTAGAAAGGTTAATAGTCAATGTAGTAATGCTAATGAAAGTAATACAGATTTGTTTGTTCCCCTGCTTGAGAAAATAAAAATTAACAACAATTTGAATGAACTAAATTATGTTTAATTTTTAAAAATCTGGAGCAGAAGTAGAGAAAATGTGGACTAATTTAGGTACATGAAGTAATACCAATTTAACAGGTATCTATTGAGTGAAATAAATATGCTAGATATTATGACAGTTCAAAAGTGAACCAGACCTAGATTCAGGCTACTTTTAGTTGATGTTTACTTAGAGTCCAGAGTATTTTATATCCCTGGAACAATATATTCTCTCCTAGTTGAGCCTCTAATGGTTTCTTTCAGGAAAAAGAACAGTTGAGTTTTCAAAACAATAAGGACAGAGTTACAACTTAAATCACAAGTAAAAGAGTCTATACTTCATATTTATCTTTTTTCTGTATTTTCTGTTGTTTTTCTTCCTCCCTTCTATGGCTATAATCTTTCCCCCTTTTTTGTTTTTCTTTTTTGACCTTTGATCAATCCCCTTTTGTTTCTATTTAATGGGATTATAATATGGATCTAAAGTATATATTTTATATGATTTTTGTTTTTTTTGAATGAAATTTCTCACTATTACTTTGGAAGTCCAGTTATTTTTACTGTGTTTGGACTCATTCAGAGAGGAGTAAATCCTCATAATCTTAACTCTGACCAAATTATCTTGCTTTTTAACTTTCCTGTGAACCTTTATTCTTTTGCCCCCAAAGAAAACCCAGTCAGTAACTTAAATAGCAAAGAACTCCTTCCCTCACTCCAGTCTAAAAACACAGGTGGTTCAGTGGTGGCATTTCTGCCTTTTCTTTCTTTCTTTTAAACTATCATGTCCACTGGTGGGGTAAATAATCTGTTAACTGTGAAATCAGTTTGACAATATATATTATATCACACATATCCAGGTAGATAAAAAAATTAAATCCCGCCCGCCCCCCCCCCCCCCCCCCCCACACACACACACACACACACACACACACACACAAACAAACATACACACTTTGTATTACTATTAGGGAAAAAAACAGAAACAAGTATTTTACCACTGGATAAAAGATTTCATAAGTTAAAAGAAAAGGGGGAAAAATCATAGATGACAGGACAATTTTAAGTAATTTAAGTTTGAAGTTCTTTATATATTAAGAAACAAATTTAAAAGGCAAACTAGAATAGTCAGAAAAATAGGACAAAATATATCTCCTTTACATTTTAAATGTTCATACAAATTCACTTTAAAACCCCACTGTGATACCAATAGATAATTAAAGGACATAAACAATTCACAGTAGAGAGAATATCATGGTTATTCTATGAAAACCAATTTTTCTCATAATTTAAGAAATACAAATGAAGCCAAGATGTCTGTTTTCATTCATCATATTTATTAAATATCATTCCTGTTGGGAGCATAATTTAGAACAGCTCTTTGGAATAAGGTTCCAAGTCAGGAGACTTGAAAATATTTAAATTCTTTGATATAGTTATTATCTAAACAACCCAACTGAATAAAACATATGAAGGGCATGTAGAGGAAATTACAGAATAGGAAACCCAAATGGCTAATAAAGAATAAGAAAAGGTTTCAGCTTCAGTAGTAATCAGGGATGTGCAAATTAAAATCACAATGATGAGATTTAATTTCACACCTATTATGCTTGAAAAAACAAAATTCTGACAATACCAAGTGTTAAGTCTATTAGAACAACAAGAATTCTTATAGGCTGCTGATGGGAATATAAATTGGTACAACCACTTTGGAAAACAATATGGCACTATTTAATAAAGTTTAAGATTTGCATATACTATTGCTCAGTAATTTTATTCCTAAGTATATACTCCAGAGAAACACTTGTATTGTCCACAAGAAGATTTAATGTACAAGAATGTTCATAGAAACATTTTAAAAAAATCTTTAATCTTAGGGGAAACCTTGATATCCATTATCAGAAGAATATGTAGATTGTGGTGCGTTTATACAATGGATTACCATTCAGCACAGTGGTACAACTGTGCACAATACCTGGATGTACCTTATAACCTAATATTTAACCAAAGAGGCAAAAATAAAAGAAATATGTACAGTAGCATACATTTGCCAGAACTCATCAGCCCATACATTTAAGGCCTGTGCATTTCCTGTATATAAATTACATCTCAAAAATTCATACAGTATGACTCTCATATCAGGTTCTGAACTAGGCAAAATAAACATGTATTGTTTATGGATACATAGATATTTGGTAAAATTGTAATGAGATGTGTCATCTATAATAATAAAAGCACAATATGCTAATTAGACTGGACAGCCGAACAACCTTCCGGATGTCCTTCTGGACGAAGCCTGGGCTGCGAGGGCCAAGGCAAGCTGCCACAGCTGCAAGGGCTGAGCCCCTTGCACGAAATTTGTGCATTGGGCCTCTAGTCTATATATATAAAAGGCTAATATGCAGTGTCCCCTCAGGAGTTCGATCAGGAGTTCAGCTGGCAACTGGGGAAGGGAGGCCCCAGCCAGCAGCCAGAAGACTCCTATCTGCCCTGATTGCTGGCCAGGCCTAGGGACCCTACCCGTGCATGGGTTTCATGCACCGGGCCTCTAGTAATTAAACATTGAACCTCTGAAAAGGAAGGGTGGGGGATAGATGGAGTGAGGTATACATCGATGGATAATTTATTTTAAAAATCTGAGGCAAATACGGAAAAATTTATTAAAGCTGGGTCACAGGTAGATAAGTTCAATATATTCTTTTGTGTGTTTGAAACATGTTCATGAAATTTTTTAAAAATAACCTTATTGTGATATAGTTTATACACCATACTAGAGGCCTGGTGCACAAAATTTGTGCACGGGGGCAGGGGTTGTCTCTCAACTCAGCCTGTACCCTCTCCAATCTGGGACCCCTTGAGGGATGTCCGACTGCCCGTTTAGGACTGACCCCACTGGGGCTGGGCCTAAATGGGGAGTCAGACATCCCTCTCACAATCCACGACTGCTGGCTCCCAACTGCTCGCCTGCCTGCCTGCCTGCCTGCCTGATTGCTCCTAATCACTTCTGCCTGCCAGCCCGGTCACCCCTAACTGCCCTCCCTTGCCAGCCTGGTCGCCCCTAACTGCCCTCCCCTGCAGGCCTGGGTCCCCCCCAACTGTCCTCCTTTGCTGGTCTGGTCGCCCCTAACTTTCCTCCCTTGCAGGCCTGGTCCCTCCCAACAGCCCTCCCCTGCTGGCCATCTTTGATCACCTGGGGGCGGCCATCTTGTGTGTTGGGGTGATGGTCAATTTGCATATCACCTCTTCATTATATAGGATACAATTTGCCCAATGGAAGTATATAATTCAGAGGTTTTTAGTGTATTCACAGAGTTCTGCAATCATCACATCAATTGCAGAACATTTTCATCACCAGAAAAAGAAACAAACTCAATAGTAATCACTCATTTCTTTCCAACCCCTACAGCCCTATGCAACCACCAATCTTGTCTCTATGGATTTGCCTTTTCTGTATATTTTATGTAAATGGAATTATATAATATGTAATCTTTTGTAACTAGCTTTTTTACTTAGCATATTTTCAAGATCCATCCATGTTGTAGCATATGTCAGTACTTCATTTCTTTTTATTGCCAAATAATATTCCATTGTATGGATATACTACATTGTGTTATTCATCAATTGATGGGCATTTGAATTGTTTCTACTTTTTGGCTATTTACCGGTCAACTGCCATGATATTTTGAATTCAATTAAAAAAGGTCCACTGCTTGTGTCTATAGATGGTTAAGAATAATGCTGCTATGAACATTCATGTACAAGTTTTTGTTTGGATGTATGGTTTTCTCTTGATACAGACCTATGAGTAGAATTGTTGGGTTGTATGGTAACTCAGTTTAACTTTTTGAGGAACTGCCAGACCCCTCCAAAGCAGCTGCACCATTTTACATTCCTACCATATTGTATTGTATTGTACTGTATTGTATTGTGTATGAAATTTTTAATTAAATATTTCTGCAGCTCTTTATCCAATTAAAGAGACATGTATTGAATACATATCCAGTATTCATATGTATGAGTCACTGTGATATATACTGAGAGGCAAGCAAAAATGTAAACTAATGTAAGCAGTAATTATAAGCAGTATAATAACATTCACATATTCATATAACTTCATAAGTATTAGATAAACAAAGTGCTGTGGAGCAAGGATAGAGTAATTAGTCCTGAATATTAAAAAACTGGAAAACTTCTCTGAGAAGTTGACTTTGAATGTTTCAAATCACCTTTTGAATTTAGAACTTTTAATGATATAGACAAGTACTTATATTTGGTAAAAAAATAATTTCAAATTGTTTATATGGTATAGTCTCAACTATATTTTAGAAGTAGGAAAGGTAGGACACACTCAATTATTGATAGTTATAGGTAGAATTATAGGTGACTTTTTCTTCTGGAGCCTCCACATTTCTACCAGAAGCATCATAGTACTTTTGTATTCAGAAAAAGTACTAAAAATAATAAAAGTTAAATTATCAGGGCCTAAACTCCATTGTGTCTTATCATAGAGAAATTGTTATCTATGGTTTTAAAAAGTATACTACTTTGTAATTACCTTGTTTCTTTTTTAAGTTTCATGCAGAAATTTATTTTGACCATGACTTACAAAGTTATGTCCTTGTGGATCAAGGCAGTCAAAATGGTACAGTTGTTAATGGAAAACAGATTCTTCAGGTGAGTGTGTGTGTGTGTGTGTGTGTGTGTGTGTGTGCGCGCGCGCATGTGTGTATGTATGTATATGTGTGTATACATGTATATATAAAAATTACTTGCACATTATTTTTAAAAAATGAACTGAAATTTTTTATTCCTGAAGGCCATAGTTATTATATATATCATTTGGCTAGGTCAATGTTCAAGTCCAAATGTGTTACATGGAAGGGAATTCTGAAAAAGGGCTGAAGAAGGATATAATAAGTTAATACTTGACTATTGAGTTTTGACTTCTAATTATGTATCTATGCCTTGTCTTAAGAGATAAATGCATTTTTATTTTTATTTATTTATTTATTTTTTTTTAAATATATTTTATTGACTTTTTACAGAGAGGAAGGGAGAGAGATAGAGAGTTAGAAACATCGATCAGCCGCCCCCCGCACGTCTCCCACCGAGGGTGTGCCCGCAACCCAGGTACATGCCCCTGACCGGAATCAAACCTGGGACCCCTCAGTCCGCAGGCCGACGCTCTATCCACTGAGCCAAACCGGTTTCGGCGAGATAAATGCATTTTTAAAAATATGTTTTTATTGTTTTAGAGAAGGGAGAGGGAGAGATAGAAACATCAATGATGAGAGAAAATCATCTATCACTGCCTCCTGCAAGCCCCTTACTGGGGATTGAGCCTGCATCCTCAGCATGTACCCTGATTTAGACTTGAACCTGGCCTCATGGTTCATAGGTAGATGCTCAAACACTGAGCCACACTGGTGGGGCGAGATAAATGCATTTTAAAGCTATTCAGAGTGAATGTTTTTACAGCAGCTTTAGGGGTCCTTTTTTGTGTTTTTAAAATTTTATTTTAATGAAAGTATTGCTAAACTTTAAATTCCTTGAAGGTAGCGGCTATGTCTATCCAATTAACTCTTCTATCTTCAACATGTAGCAAAGTGCTTGGCACTGGAAGGGAGGACGTATACTTAAAAAATGAAATTGTCAAGAGGAAGAAGAATAATGATGCACTTATCCCCTGAACACTTAGTCTTTTTTACCAGAATTATTTGTTTTGGTACTAGATTGTTTAAAGTTTGGGTGGGTATTTCTCTGATAGGATTGGGCATGGAGATAGGAGATTGTGTTATCTTCTCCACTAGTAGAACATTATGGATCATCCTTAAGTTGTGGAAATGTGTGTGCATATGTATGCCTATCTCATTGAGAACTATCTCAAAAATATTTTTGTTATAATCAGACATTACTTCCATTTGACATAAAATAATCATATGTAACTCTTTTTGGATTTCTGTTTTGTAATTTTTCCCTTCAGCCTAAAACTAAATGTGATCCTTATGTACTTGAGCATGGAGATGAAGTGAAAATTGGAGAGACTGTGTTGTCCTTTCACATTCACCCTGGCAGTGATACCTGTGATGGCTGCGAACCAGGGCAGGTTAGAGCTCACCTTCGTCTTGATAAGAAGATGAATCTTTTGGTATGTGAAACTATTTTTAATGTGCATGATAACTTTCAAATTCACTGGAGTGTGCTAAATATGTATCAGTTGGCTACGAGCTTCATTTCTTGATATAATACGATGTTGAGAGAATTGATATATATTACTGATTTTAGAGAGAGGAAGGGAGAAAGGGAGGGAGAAATGGAGGGAGGGAGAGGGGGAAAGATGAAGAGAGAGAAACATCAGTGAGAGAGAGAAACGTCCATTGGTTGCCTCCTGAACTCTCCCTGACTGGGGATTGAACCTGCCATCTTTTGGTACAGGACAATGCTCCAATCAACTGAGCCACACTGGCTAAGGTGAGATAATTTATATTTCAATAAATATTGTCAAATGAGACCAAGAAATGAGATGTATTTAAAATTTGAGAACTAGGCTAGTCTATTATGATTGTAGTTGATTTTTCTGTGTAATAGCTGTTCTTTTATAGCATTAGGTTACTTTCTGACTAGGAGGTAATCATTAGCTCTGTCTTTGCTAATCTAGTTTAGTAGGCTTTTGAAGCAGCTACATATTCTTCAAAAGAGTAATTGTGACACAACTATAATAAAGATTGGTTTCCTTTTAACATTTATTTACTGATATGAAAAAGTCATCCACAGTTAAACTCTGTCATATAATAGTAACTATCTACAAAAAAGAGAAAGATGCAAATTGACTGTACCTTCACGATGCCCACCAGCCAATCAGGAGTGAGTATGCAAATTAACCAAACAAAGATGGTGGGTTAATTTGCATACGCAGGCACCAAGTGGCCAGGGGCGGGGTGGGACGCTTGAAGTGTCGCCATGGCGACGACGCAGGTGTTGCGCACCACCCCAGCTGCTCCAGGCCTCTGGGAAGGCGGAAAGGCAGCTCCAGGCCGGAGCGAAGGTGGTACCGGCAGCCAGGGGAAGGAAGGCCCATTCTTGCACGAATCTTCGTGCATTGGGCCTCTAGTTATAATAATAAAAGTGTAATATGCTAGTTAGACCGGACGTCCTTCCTTCCAGACAAAGCCACAATGAGTGGGGGCCGAGGTAGAGGCTGCAGAGGCCCCGGCTGTGGCAGTGATGGGCGGAGGTTGGGGCCAAGGCCCTTGCATGAATTTAGTGCATTGGGCCTCTAGTAGAAAATAATAGGTCAAGATATTAAGAGTTATTGGTTGATATGCTTTCCTACTATAGTTTATGTTGATGTATCATCTAAGTATACACCATGATTTTCTGTAGAAAGTAACACTGTGGGAAGTTGCTATTTTGCTTTAAACTCACTCATCTAAGGCTTTTAAAATTTAAATAGATACCTTGAACTAGTAAGAACAAATTTTTTTCACATCAGTTTTCCCCCTAAATATCAATTTTACATGGTCATTGTATATTTTTTTTGTTTCCTGATGCTAGATCATGAAAATAAGTATGACACTTTACAAAGTAATATAAATCTTGGGATCTGTGGTTTTTCTTTTGCACATACCTGCGTTTCTTTGGAAAAGTCACAGTTTTTAAGAATCTTAGTGTTTGATGTTTCTTTTGTTATCTGTACTATTACATTCCTATAATCTTTGGGTTTTGGTTTATTTTCCAAGTAGATTTAATTACCAAAATGGTGAAAGGACATCATCACAACTCAAGATTCCTTTATATTAATGTTTATTTGCACATTTGATTAATTTATAGATGGGATGAGAATATTATTAGTTTTTAATTATTAAATATGACTATTTTATATAAAATCTGTCAGCTTTAGTGAGTTTTTCTTTTTAAATCAGACTCACTTTTTCCTTTTAGTTGGTCCAACACTAAGCAAGGAAGAGAAAGAGTTGGAAAGGAGAAAAGAGTTAAAGAAAATACGAGTAAAATATGGTTTACGGGTAAGGATGTTAAGTATCATATGTGTACCTGATTTTGAATAAAAATGCCTTTAGATATGCATAGTCCACTTTAATATATATAAAAATAGTTATTTAGAATGATTTTGAAGTTTATGTAATTTCTTTTAGTTGTTTACTGTTGTTACCTTAACAACTGTTGAGGTTGAAGTAGAAAAAAGATAATAGTACCCTACATTTTTTAAAATTTAAATTCTTTATTGTTTAAAGTATTACATATGTCTCCATTTTCTTCCCTACATTTTGATAGCCATTTCTGGTTTTAAAAACTTGCATTCAAATGTTACCATAAAAGAACATAGTTGAAGGGCTAAAGCTGCCTGATTTCAACACTTGTTATAAATTACAGTAATAGAGTATAGTATTGGCATAAGGATAAACAAGTCAGGGAAACAGAATAATGAATCCAGAAATAAATCCATATAGATAGACAGGTGTGTGTGATTTCAGCAAAGGTGTGAAGCAATTTGGTGGTGAAGGGGTGGTTTTTTTAAATGAATAATTAAGTTACCATATGCAAAAATAACAACAAAAAGAACTTTAATTCACACCACATAATATATAAATGAATTCAAAATGGATCATAGATATGAATTTAAAATCTAAAACTATAAAACTTTTCTAAGCAAACCTTTTAGGCAAAGATTTTTTTATATATCTAACACTGAAAGCATAGTTCATAAAAGAGCATATTAATAAATTGCACTTCCTCTAATACTTCTGTTTCTCCAAAGACACTGTTAAAAGGATGAAAAGATAAGCCACAAACTGGGAAAAATATTTGCAAATCAATCTGATAAAAATCATACATCTTATATCTAGAATACATAATGAACTCTCAAAACTCAGTAAAAACAAGTCAATTAAAAAATGAGCAAAAGATTTGAATAGATACTTTCAGCTGATGTACAGATGTCAAACACATGAAAAGATGTTCGGTATCAGTAGTCATTAGGAAATACAAATTAAAAACAATTAAAAAGACTGACCATAACAAGTGTTGGTAGGCATGTACAGGAATAGGAACTCACCACTCTAGTCCAAGGTATTTATCCAAGAGAAATGAAAGCATATGCTCATACAAAAACTAGTAAAATGTTCATAGCAGCAATTTTTCTAATAGCCAAAACTGGAAAAAATTTATGTGTTCATTATGAATGGATAAATAAACTGTGGTATATACCTCTGTGGTCAAATACTATTTAGCTATAAAAAAGCATGAGCTATTGATATGGGCTGCAATATGGATGAATCTCAGTTATGCTGAGTGAAAGAAGCTAGACAAGAGTACATAGTATATACTTCCTATATAATGAAGAGGTAATATGCAAATTGACCATCACACCCTTACAAGATGGCTGCCTACGACCAGGCCGGCAGGGGGGTTAGTGAGGGACGACCAAATGACTGAACAGCAGGCTGTGTGGGGTGACCAGGCCAGCGGGGGGCAGTTGGGAGTGATTAGGCTGGCAGAGGGGTCAGTTGGGAGTGATCTTGCCGGCAGCGGGGGCAGTTAGGGGCGACAAGGCCGGCAGTGGGGGGCAGTTAAGGGTGATCAGGCCGGCACGCAGAGGCAGTGAGGGGTGATTAGGCCGGCGGGGGATGGGCAGTTAGGGGCAACCAGGCAGGCAGGCAGATGAGCGATTAGGAGCCAGCGGTCCAGGATTGTGAGAGGGATGTTCGACTGTCCGTTTAGGCCCGATCCCACCGTGGGATCGGGCCTAAACGGGCAGTCGGACATCCCTTGAGGGGTCCCAGATTGGAGAGGGTGCAGGCTGGGCTGAGGGACACCCCCCTCCCTGCACGAATTTCATGCGCCGGGCCTCTAGTCTATTTATATAAAACTGTAGGAAAACAAACTTACATGTGATAGAAAGATTGCCTGGTTGCCTGATACAGGAGAAGAAGGATGTGCAGGGAGGATCTGAGGGATAGATTATAAAAAAGGACAAGGACACTTGTGGGAGATGGATTTGTTTATTGATTGGGGTGATGGTTTCATAGGTATAGACACATCTCAAAAGTGTCTAATTGTACACTTTATGTGTAATTTATTGTATGTTAATATACCTCAATAAGGCTGCCCCCGCTGCTGTAAAAAGTATTGCCATTTAATCCTGTAAGTAGACCAGGAAGGTAATATTTTCAGTTTACATTTGAAAAACTAAAGCTAAGGCTCACTCAGTTACTAAGTGATGGAGCTATGTATAGAATCTAGGTCAGTGACGGCGAACCTATGACATGCGTGTCAGAGGTGACACGCAAACTCATTTTTTTGGTTGATTTTTCTTTGTTAAATGGCATTTAAATATATAAAATAAATATCAAAAATGAAAGTCTTTGTTTTACTATGGTTGCAAATATCAAAAAATTTCTATATTTGACACGGCACCAGAGTTAAGTTAGGGTTTTTCAAATGCTGACATGCCGAGCTCAAAAGGTTCGCCATCACTGATCTAGGTCTAAATTAGTGTATTTGTCCAGTGCTTTTTACACTTCATGAAGATGTGGGAAAGATGCTCCAAAATAATATATGTACTGCAAAATTGTATTTTTTTGTTACTTTTGTGCTAATGGACAGAAATCATAATAGAAAAAAAATGTCAGGGGACTAATTTGGGAGTAAAATAAAAGATATATAAGGAGGGAATAAAATGTTTTCTCAAAAATTTTAACTCGCCGTAGCTGGTTTGGCTTAGTGGACAGAGCATTGGCCTGCAGACCAAAGGGTTCCGAGTTGATTCCAGTCAAGGGCATGTACCTTGGTTGCAGCCTTCTCCCCGGCCCGGGACCTGGTCCGGGCTCGTTCAGGAGGCTACCAATCAATGTGTTTCTCTCACATCAATGTTTCTCTCTGTCTTTCCCTCTCTCTTCCACTCTCCCTAAAAAACTCAATGGAAAAAATATCCTCAGGTGAGGATTAACAAAAATATAAATAAATAAATTTTAACTCAATTTCTGAATCATCTTTTGGAGAAAAGCCCATTGAGATCAGTGGTTCTGTTTTGCTTCTCTGATTACAAGCAAAATTAGGTAAAAACTTCTGTGGTACTTTCCTTGAATTGCACTAGCAGCCCCTAGCAACTCTGGATGAATGACATACTTTCTACATAAAGATCAACAAGTAATAACAAAGGGTGGAGAGAAGCCTTCTTTGAAGCTCCAACCTGAATTGACTACCTGCTCTTTTGTGCTTACTGCCACATACTATGTATACCTCTATTGTTGAACCAATCATACTGTAGCTTGCTAAAGATTATGTGTCTGTCTTCCTGGATTATAAATTTCTTTGTATTCCATCACCTAGCATGGAGCTTAACATACTCTTTACTTAATAAGAATAAGGAGCATGGCCCGGCTGGTGTGGCTCAGTGGTTGAGTGTCAACCTATGAACCAGGAGGTCACAGTGTGATTCCTGGTCAGGGCATGGGTTGTAGGCTCAATCCCCAGTGTGGGGCATGCAGGAGGCAGCTGATCAGTGGTTCTCTCTCATCATTAATGTTTCTATCTCTCTCTCCCTCTCCCTTCCTATTTCTGAAATCAATAATAGAAAAAAAATTTTTTTAAGAATACAGAGTATGTTAAGCTCCATGCAACTTAACATATTCTTTACTCATAATTCACATATGATTTATATTCTGTATGCAATTTGTGTTTTAGTACAACTTTGAATAATATAAACAATTTAAAGGGGATGGAATAAAAATAGCATATTCAATAACATAATTGTCTTCATTTATATCATGGCTTGTTTTAATTAATTGTTTAATAGAGACCACATTGAACAATATTGCTAATAAGGCATATATACAGGCATTACATTTTTATATATTTGTTGTTTTCATTGAGTATTTCATATTTATAAAGAATACAGATTATGAAGATGAAAAGGCATTGAAGAATCCAAAATATAAAGATAGAGCAGGGAAACGGAGGAAGCAGATTGGAAGTGAAGGAACTTTCCAAAGAGATGATGCTCCTGCATCTGTTCATTCGTAAGTATTAACTTTTCCAAAGTAGTTTCTAAAGTAGTTGTACCAATTATTTTTAATTTATTCATTTATTATAAATGTGACCTAAGTGGTCTTTTAGAAATCAGTTAATCATCTTAATTTTTTTTTAAAGTGAAATTACTGATAGCAACAAAGGTCGGAAGATGTTGGAAAAGATGGGTTGGAAAAAAGGAGAGGGCCTGGGGAAGGATGGTGGAGGAATGAAAACTCCGGTAAGACTTGTGTTTTCTTTCACTCTTTATTCTTTAGCAGGTGTGTTGACTGTGTACCTAATATGTGCCAGGCATTGCCTTAAGAGCTAGTACTATAGTAGCAAGCAAAAGTAGACGTGATTACTGCCTCAGTGGCATTTATGATTACCAAATATATATATGTGCATTGTTTTATTTTGGTTTTAATATTTTCAGGAAGCCTCTTAAGAGTTTTTCCTTCAGTGGAGCTAGGATAGTAAGTGTTATTTCCCGAGTCAAAGTTTTTCTGTATCATTTAGTTGTTTTTAATGATTTCATGGTACTAAGCATTGCAGGAGCAGTTACAGTGTTACTTTACAAATAGGCAGATTTTATATTAGCTGGAGAATCTGTTTTGGGTTCAGGAATCAGAGCATGTAACAAGCAATAGAGAGAATAATGTTTGAAAAACAATACAGTGATTTAATTCCAGTCTCATGGTTCATCCGAATTCAGATTATCTTTCACAAAAACCTTACAAAGTAACATGACTGAAGAACTTCCTTCATAATTACTTGGTACCTAAAGAAATAATGAATGAATCACGGAGTTTAATGTAAATTTTCTCACTTCATTGAAATACAATGGGAACAACATGGGTTTTATAGCTAGACCTAGGTTAAAATAGTGCTCTGCTGCTTACTATCTGTGGGATTTAGGGCAAGTTTGGACTTCAGTTTTCATATGTAAAAATGGGGGTAAGAACTGTTTTTCAATGATGTCATGGAGATAAAGCTCCTAGCATGGTGCCTGACATATTAGGGACTCAGTAACTGGTAGCTTTTAATGGGTCCCAGCATAATGGGAAGTATTCCCCTCCTTTTATGAAAATAAGCAATTGAGTTCTTTTTATGACTTCACTTACGTAGGTGAGGCTAGGACAGTAGGTTTAAATACATCTATTGCTGTACTTTTGATTAGAGTAGGATGACAGATTCTGCAGCATTTCCATGAATTTCAGTGCTATTTAAGGAGCACTCTATTTGTTGTTGAGGGAACTGTCCTTATTGACAGACAAGACAATGTAGAAAAATTTAAGTTCCATGTATAATCATGTATGTATTTCTGCATGTATCTGATACATTTTGATAGGTTTTTCTTTTGCATCAATCTTTTCTAAATCAAAAGAATTATACTTAAAATACTAAGTTGGACAAAGCAGATTTTAATATGCTTTGACTGTACAGTAAATAATTCCTCTGCTCAACTTTTGGTAATAGATTCAGCTTCAGCTTCGACGAACACATGCAGGCTTGGGGACAGGTAAGCCATCCTCAATTGAAGATGTTCACCTTCTCCAAAACAAGAGCAAGAAGAACTGGGAGAAAGCACGAGAGAGGTTTGCTGAAAACTTCCCAGAAACTAAGCCTCAAAAAGACGCACCAGGGACTGTTCCTTGGGTCAAAGGGACTGTAGAGTGAAGGTCAGTCCTAGAACACAATTCAAGCTTTTTAACAGAGAATCTGGAACTTTTCCCTCCAAAAGAGCCAGTGGCATGAGGGAACCTGTATCACAATTTACCCCCTCATGATTCAAATATGTATAATAAAGTGTGGTTTGCAGCTTTTAAAAAACATTTTTTAAAAACTAGTAAGTAGTGAATGTATCAAGTTATTTGATGGGTGGATTAAAGTTCACAGGGCATGGATGAGCTTATCAAACTTTGTTATTTTATCTTGTCATTTATAAGACCTACATAAGTAACTAGCCATATCAGCAAAAAATTCATATCCCCACTAATGATTTAAATGTACATTTGTCTTTGTCTCCATATGTTCATTATGTTGAGAAAACATGGGTAGAGGTGCATAAATTTTATTTTCCTTGAAATAATGTTAAGTAATAGTATTGAAGAACTAACGAACAGGTGACACGTAGAAAATTAGTCTTTCATTGTTTTCTTCTGTGAAGAATCTGTTGATTTGTACTATATATTAAGCATTTACATTGGTTTGTTTCATAGATTAAATATTTAGATATGAACAATTGAGTACAGTATTGAAATATTCATTGTACTGGCATTTGTAGTTTTGATAAATCCCATTGCTGGCAATGGAGTTTTGCCAGATAAATCTAATTTCTACTGCCAACAGATTATCTAGCCAAGGCCTCAAACTCAAGTATTTATTGAAAATGTTCTCAAATGCAATAAACACATTGTAACATCAGAAAGAGTGATTCATTGAACCAATGATTTAAACATACTGGTCTGCTTTGAACTCACTACCAGCCAGAATTTTCCTTTTGAAAGTGGCAGAGCAGTGACAAGAGGACTCCCTGGAATGCTGGAGAGCTGCAGTGCAGTTTCCTGAGTGCAGGTGTCACCGCTCTGCCAGTTATCACTATTTTCTTCCGTTGGACTTTTCTCTCAGCTCTTGTCTGGGAAATTAATGCTGGAACTGACCCTCTTTTGGCAGTGAATATAAGCTACAGCTCCCTCATCTGCTATAAAGAAATGTCTTCAAGATTTAGAATAGGAAAGAAAAATTCTGGGGAAAAAAAGTACAATAGGGAAAATAATTCAGAAGAAAAGGCTACCTGTTGGAATTTCTAGTCTAAATGGTATAGGGTACGTCGAAAGAAAAGGGAGTGAGGAAAGAAAAATAAATTTATTATTAAAGATGAGGCATGTGACCAAGATATTAAGTCCCTTTTTTTAAAAAAATATATTTTATTGATTTTTTACGGAGAGGAAGGGAGAGAGATAGTTAGAAACATCGATGAGAGAGAAACATCGATCAGCTGCCTCCTGCACATCTCCCACTGGGTATGTGCCCGCAGCCAAGGTACATGCCCTTGACCGGAATCGAACCTGGGACCCTTCAGTCTGCAGGCCGACGCTCTATCCACTGAGCCAAACCGGTTTCGGCTATTAAGTTCCTTAAAGCCTAAGTTGGGATAATCAGAGGCCCTAGAACTCCAGATGTGGTTCTATTTTTCTGTATCCTTCCTGGCCACCTACACACCCTAACACAAATATATGTGCATTAGACTTGGAGGCAACAGGAGATTCCTGCATTATTTTCTCTAAATTAGAAAAATAATTACTCATCTAAATGTGGTTTGGTACTGGTGCCCTGTATATAGGTAACAATACAGAATTCCCAAAGTAGACTTTGCTTCTGGTAGATCTTACTCATTGGGTTAGTATACTGTCTATATAGTTCCCATTTTTATTACTGTTTTGCAGAAAACTTTTTTCATTGTTTTCTTTTGTTAAGAAAATGGAAACTTGAAAATGGTGATAAAAACTTAAAAACAACAACCCTGAAATATATGTGATACTTGCATTATTAAACCCCTTTGCAGATCAAAGTCTCAGGGCTACACTGTATAGTGGATAAAGCACTGAATCATGTTTGTATCTATTTCCAATTATGAAGTAATATTCATTTCACATGTCTGTCTTAAATAGAAAATGAGAAAATGTATGTAAAACCACTTTGTAAACCATAAAAGTAGTACAAATGTGAGCTTCTGTTTGTTCAGAAGCATACATGTCAATTATGTACAATTTGGATTACACATAAAATTGTTTTGTGTCTAGTATTTTAAATTATAGTTTATTCACACTATGTAGAGTTATTAATTTAATAGCCTTTAAGGGTTATTTTAAGTGGAGCTACAAGTTGCTAATTTGAGAGATCTTAACATTTTATATTTTTGCCAGAACATGAGAAGTTGGTAAAATTGAGAACAGAAGAAACTATCAACATTAAAGAAAAACAACAGAAATTTTTTTCTATAATTAAATAGTTAAGAAATACTTTTTTTCAAAAAGAAAAGATTTTTTTTTCTGCTTTTAGACAGTTTTTACTTCTGATGGTTCACCCGAATCAAATACCTTCCAACGTATTGTGTAAAATATTATTTCTTAATTTGGTACATTTTCAAATTGCAGGCAAAAGAAGATAGAAATTTCCAACCAGGTAGAGCAGACGTATCAGAGATTTTGCACAAGGCCACCCTATCGAGTTGCAGGACAGAGGGATGTGCTTGGCAGGGAGCCAGAAAGGCATTTCTGGACCCAACACGTTCTCAGGAACAGTTGAAAGTATTTTCTCTAACATCTTATTCTAAATGGCTTATTTTTGTAGGGCATCACTTTTGTGTCTGAATCTTTGATTCAAAATGTTTTATTTTATCTTTTTAGACTGTAAAGTAGGAAATACATTTGGATTCTTTAAAATGAGTCAGCATTCATGTGTGTGTCTGTTTATCTCAGCCCAGGCTCTCACTCTGCCTTTCTGCTTTACTGTTCTTCGTGTTGACTGTGGCTTTGTAGTTGCAGAGTGACTTTTGGAACGTCAGTCATTACATTTATTTCCGAAACAGGCAGAAGGGGTAAAGAGAGTAGTGTTTGTTTAGTTTTCTTGTACAGGAGAGCAAAGCCTACTCAGAAGCTCTCATAACACACTTCTCCTTACGGCTGCTAGCCAGAACCTGGTAACATGCCTACCCACAGCTGCAAGGGAAGTTGAAAAGGTGAGCAACAGGATGGTCTCAGTTGACTTAAGCCAATCATGAACCATCACCTGGGGCTGACCATGTTGCTACTGGAACAGAATTTGGGTTCAGTGATCAAGGCAGAAGGGGGACAGTAGAATGAGCAGGTAACTATCTGCCAGAGGGTTGGTTAAATTGTGATACAGTCCTACCATACAATACTTTGTAGCCCTTCAGGTGAGTAAAGTAGAATTATCTATACTCTAATATAGAAAAATAGTCTCACTGAATTGCTGCTTAAAAAAACCCAGATTATAGAAAAGTGTGCATAGCATAATCTCATTTAAAAAATATGGGTACATATTATTGTTTTTAATATTAATTACCCAAGGAGTGAACAGACTTATTTTTTATTTTATTATTTCTATATTTGAACTTTAAAGTAGGTATACTTGTGTAGTTAACTGGGTATAACCATACACATTTATGGCAAATAGGAATGTAACACCAGAAAGTGAAGAGGCCTTCAGGGCTCAACCCCAGACATCTTCCTCACTCTCACATGCCCACTTTCATGTACCATCCATATACCCAGGACTTCCAAGTTCTTTTAGTCAGGATGCATAACTAATTCAAAGTCACCGTAAATGCATCTTGTCCAAGATTGAACCCATAGTCTTCTCCAAACCTGGTCTCTTCCAGTTTACTCAGCTGGCAGCATCATCTAGCTAGTTGTGCAAGCCAGAACCTAGGAGTCAGCCTCTATTCAGTACCACCACCTTCTCTTTCCTTCCCCCTAATTTCCAATGTATTAACTCAATTCACTGTCACCACTCACCTGGACTATTAAAGTAACCTCCTCACTGGTCTCCCAGCAGTCACTCCTCCCTCCCTCCAGTCCATCCACTTGCAGGCATAGTGTCTTCACAACTCCCATTTCGTCATCTCCTGTTTAAATCCTCCAAGACTTCTCATTACTCTGAGGACAGAAAACAAAATCCTGGCCCATAAGACCCTACCTGGTCTAGCCACTGCTAAGTTTTCCAGTCCTATCTTGTATCTTCCTCCCACTTGGTCTCTGGGCTGTGGCATGCTGGCCTCTCTTTTAGTTTCTCAGACATGCCATGCCCTCTCTCATTCTAGGGTTGCTTATATTCTGTTATGCCTGGAATGCTCTTCTTGCACCCTTTGACCTAGTTAACTGACATATTCTTTAGATCTCTGCTAATAGATTCTTCTTCAGGGATGCCTCATTTGTCCCCCCTAGACCAGCCGTGGGCAAACTATGGCCCGCGGGCCGGATCCGGCCCGTTTGAAATGAATAAAACTGAAAAAAAAAGACCGTACCCTTTTATGTAATGATGTTTACTTTGAATTTATATTAGTTCACACAAACACTCCATCCATGCTTTTGTTCTGGCCCTCCGGTCCAGTTTAAGAACCCATTGTGGCCCTCGAGTCAAAAAGTTTGCCCACCCCTGCCATAGACTAATTGCCTTTGATAAATGTTCTTGAAAATCCATATTCGTTTCACTTAGACTGCTTATTTTGGTTCACAGTTATATATTTATTAGCCTGCTAGTGTATACTTGTCTAGATTCTGAAATGCCATGTGGGCAAGACCTTGGTTTTTCTCACAATTGCATTCCTAGTGCCTAGTATCAGGTGTCTTACACTCTCACAGGCATAGAAGTGAAAGAGCAGGATGGGTTTGGGGGACTGCAAATGGCTTGATACGGATGGAGTTTTGTGGGACTGAGAAACATGAGAGGGACTGAGTAACATAGAGGACACAGTCCCTTAGTGAATTATGAAATCAAGTTAGTGGTTGGAATCATTGAACATTGAGCGAAAGCTTGGTTTTCAAACTGTTTGACAGAACCTATGGCATTGCTTTAAGAGCTGTAGATGTGCATATGCTTGATGAGGGTGGAAAGGGTTAGGATGCCAGACTGGTGACTCCATTTCTCATGCTTGTTACCAGAATAGGTTTGTAGTGATCTTGTCAATTCAGGCTTCCAAATAGATTACATATGTAGGAAGGTTTTCACTGCTTAAAGAAAAGGGGGTGGAGTGGGGTCGGATGGGGAGAAGAACTGAGCCACTTACCTACAGCCATTCTAGCATACTGCGTTAAGAAATTTGGATTTTATCTTTTTTTATTATGAAGGATGTTAAACAGAAAAGGGCCCTCATTAGATAGCTTTATAGCAGAATAATTGGCTGATTGATGAGAGGTAGAGTGGAGGCTGGCAGACCTCCTTGAGGGTTTGTTTCATTTATCAAATGTTTATTGAGCACCTATCAGATGCTGTGCAGACTTGGGAAGGCAGGGACCTGGTTTCTTTTATCCACTGATGTGTCTTCAGTACCTACCACAGGTGGATGCTTAGGAGGTGCTCAGTAAGTGCTTATTGGTAGGATGGATGGAACACACATTTGTGATATGTCAGGCACTGTGCTAGGCATTAAACATATATTATCTTCTTTATTCCCAATAGTATTTTATGAATTAGAATACAAGCTTAGAGAGGTTTTAATTTTGCTCAAGGTCAAAATACCCATGACAAAGTTGCAGAGCTAGGGTTTAATCTTGATTCTTTTCATCCCAATGGGATGGTTAAGAGCACTGGCTAAAGAGTCTGACTGACCTGGGTTCAAATGATAGATTCACCACTCCCAAGCTGAATGACGTTTAAAAATTTATTTAATCCTGTATACC